GGCCCTGGGTTCGATTCCTCAGCACCACATAAGCAAAAAGAAAAAAGCCGGAAGTGGCGCTGTGGCTCAAGTGGTAGAGCACTAGCCTTGAGCTGAAGGGCTGAGGGACAGTGCCCAGGCCCAGAGTTCAGGCCCCACGACCGGACCCCCCCCAAAAAAAAGATATATATATATATATATATATATATATATATATAGAGAGAGAGAGAGAGAGAGAGAGAGAGAGATGAGAAACAGAAAAGCTCAAGAATGGGACAATGCGACAGCTATGACATAATGTAAGAAAAATTAGAGAAGGTATAAAGAATCCAGTAATTTGGAAAAAGTGCTTGAGACATGAAGACTAAACTAGAAGATGTACATGGAAATTAAACCATAGGAGTTCACAAGGGAAACAGACAGACAGTTGAAAGAAGAGAAACAGGGCAAAATGATTATGGTGACAGAAACATCTATAAAACATCCATAGATGTGCTGTAACCTAAACTAATGATCTAGAAGCATACTAAAAATGTACTTCTAGAGAACTTTCCTAAAATCAAACACTAGAACAAATACACCCTTCTGGGAAATCACACAAAATGGCTGATACTAAGAGATCTCCTAATTGATGGATTTTTAATGAAAACAGTAATTTTGGGCATCCAGGCAAAAGGACTAAATCATGTGTAAGGCAAGAACTCTGGGTTTTGACAGCAGCACACAATGCTAGTACACAATGGGCTTTAAGAACTGTGTGCTGCCCTTCAAAGACAGAGCAGTTATAAACATGAAAACATAAAGAATCCTCCTCTCATAAACATTGCCTGATGAAGCTGTACCTCTGTGGGCTTCAGGAGGAATGGATGTACTTAATTACAGAATAAATGGTGGGGACAAGACAGAAAAAAAGGAACACAGCTGGCTCTTGAACAAGGCAGAGACAGTTAAGAGCACTAACCCTATGTTCAGTCAAAAATCCCCACTTAGCATAACATGGTGGTTCACTCCCGTAAACCCAGGATTTAGGAAGAGGAAGAAGGACTGCAAGTATCAGGCCAGCCTGGGCTACAGCAAAGGCAGTCTCAAAAGAACAACAAAAAAGCAACAAATCCTCTACTTTTTTTTTTTTTTTGCCAGTCCTGGGGCTTGAACTCTGGGAGTGGACACTGTCCCTCTACCACTTGAACCACAGCACCACTTCTGACTTTTTCTGAGTAGTTTATTGGAGGTAAGAAAGAGTCTTGCGGTCTTTCCTGCCTGGGCTGTCTTCAAACCGTGAGCCACTGGCACCTGGAAATTTTTAGACATTTAACTACACTAGTAGCCTACTGTTGACCAGGAAAAGAATCTTACCAATAATAATAATACAGACAATTAACAAATACTTTCTACATGTATCACATGTGGTAAAGAAAATAAGGCAAGAGCCAGCAGAGCCCACTTGCTAACATGCGGCTTCATTTCTTAGAGGAATTGCCCACAGAATATATGCAGTTTTCCATGGAGACCCAGACACAGCAACAGGAGGAGACTATGAAACTATTACAGTGGCACATACAGCCTTTCATGCCATTATAACTTATGTGTGTATAGATCTCTGAGAATGGCACCATGTACAGGTTTGAACAGGGCCTGTGTACCTAGATTTTGGTACACTTTACCTTTTTATACAGGCATTTGTGCATACGGTGGTAAAACGGTATCACAGACATATGGACAAATTTTGCTTTCATGACCTACCTTTTTTCTCAGCAAGGTTCATCTGCAATTTTTTTCAAACTGCTGCTCATTTCCTCACAAAATTCCAGAGTAGATAAGTAGGTCAGATCTACTTATCTGAGCAAACCCTCTCAATCATAGTGAGCAACTGTCATCTGTTCTGACTATAAATTTTCATTTTTCTCTCAAAATACAAGAAAAAAGTAAAATACAATAAGCAGTCTGACTCCCTTACAAAGCTTGAAACCAAAGTGCCTAAGTTCACATTAGAGAGAAAGAAGAGCAAATTCAATACTGTTCCCAGTACAAAAGCTACATACAACAATCTGAAACACATGAACAAGGCTCTGCATTCAATCACCAGAAAATGCAAAGATTGCAATCTGAAATTTAAACATTATCAAGTCTGTGCCTAATAACCAGTGACACTCAGGTCTTAAAGAAAGTGAATTTCTAGACATTTTCAGAATTGCTAGGAAACATGCAATGAGATCCAATTGGCCTTTCTGGAACATGGGAACTCGTCTGAGAAATACTTTGCTCCCTCCCAAGAGTCAATCAATTCCACATCTTCTGATTGTGAGGCTTCAGTCCAAGTGACTCCCTTAGAGGATGAGGCACTCTTCACACTAAGAGCAAGGGCCAAGGTAGGTTCCTAGCATACAGAGGAAAGGATTCCATCAACTGTACCATCCATCACATGTATTGTCTCATCAATGTGGTTAATTTATGTGCCAACATGGCTATGTCACAGTACCCAAGTATATGGTCATATACCAGTATAGATATGACTGTGAAGTTTTTCTTTTTTCTTTGATTGGTCATGGGGTGTGAACGCTAGGCCTGGGTGCCATCCCTGAGCTCTTCAGCTCAAGGTGAGCGCTCTACCACTAGAGTCACAGTGCCACTTCCAGTTTTTGAGTGGTTAACTGGAGATAGAGTCTCACGGACTTTCCTGCCCGGGCTGTCTTTGAAACATGATCCTCAGCCTCCTGCATAGCTAGGATTATAGGCATGAGCCACCAGTGCGTAGCTTGTGAAGGTTTTTTTAAAGCTATATTATTTAAACTTGCACACTACCAGTGTTGCAGTCTTAGGGACAAAGAATGCTGCCATATCAGTTCTTTCTGCTGGCCTGCCCTCTAGATTCTAGATTTGCTAACAACTACATATGTGAGCCAGTTCCTTTCTATGAGTCCTCCCTTCTTCCTTCTACTTCTCCTATCCCTCTCTCTCCTATTTTGTTCATTGGAGAAATGAAATAGATCTAGATCCATGAAATTTTGATCGCTTTGAAATTCAACATAACCACTATAAAGTTAGCAGAATTTCTAGTTCAATTTCACATCCCTTCTACCACATGGGCAATATTCTTCTGTAAATAGGAATCAGCCGGGCGCTGGTGGCTCACGCCTGTAATCCTAGCTACTCAGGAGGCTGAGATCTGAGGATCGCGGTTCAAAGCCAGCCCGGGCAGGAGACTATCTCCAATAAACCACCAAACCGGAAGTGGCGCTGTAGCTCAAGTGGTAGAGCGCTCGCCTTGAGCTGAAGAGCTGAGGGACAGCGCCCAGGCCCAGAGTTCAAGCCCCACGACCGACAAAAAAAAAAAAAAAGGAATCACCTACAGTTCTTCTTGATGTTTGGTAGATGCCTCTAATCACATTCTCCTACATTACTTTGTGCCCTGGCTGGCCTCAACCCATGATTCTGGAATTATAGGCATGAACCATCATGCTTGTCCCAATTCCTATATGCCTCTTTTTTTTTTCTTTCTCTCTCTCTCTCTCTCTCTTTTTTTTTTGGTCGGCCGTGGGGCTTGAACTCTGGGCCTGGGCGCTGTCCCTCAGCTCTTCAGCTCAAGGCGAGCGCTCTACCACTTGAGCTACAGCGCCACTTCCCTGCCCGGGCTGGCTTTGAACCGCGATCCTCAGATCTCAGCCTCCTGAGTAGCTAGGATTACAGGCGTGAGCCACCAGCACCTGGCTCTCTCTCTCTTTTTAATTGCTTTTAGATTACTTTTAGAATGCCATCTCCTTATTCCCAAAAGAACTCACATATTTAAGAGAGATATTATTTCTGTCCAATTCACTTAATGAACAACTTACAGGTTTTCTACCAACAAATGCTGGTGGTAAAAATAAATATTAATTAAATCAGGCATTGGTGGCTCATACCTGTAATCTTAGCTACTCAGGAGTCGAGATCTAAGGACTGTGGTTCAAAGCCAGCATATAGGCAGAAAAGTCTTATCTTCAATTAACTATCAAAAGGCTGGAAGTGGGAGTTTAGGCTCAAGCACTAGCACTAGTCCTAAGCATAAAGCTCAGGACAGCACTCAGGCCCTGAGTTCAAGCCCCAGAACCAGCACTAAAATAAATAGTTTAAAATTGTGTATTTATTGTAATCAGGAATCAAGCTTTCTGATTATTGAACTTGAATGAACAAGAGGCCAACATTACAAGCAAGAGTGTTTAAAGAAGAAACACAAAAAAAGATCAGACCATCTTCAATATTAATAAC